TGCGAATTATTTCAAAAAATATACAAAAAATAATTGCCCCTTATAAAATAAGGCAAGAACAAAAAGATAAAGCCTTTTGTGTTTAATTGTTAATATTTTTTTTAAGTTTTAATTTTGTTTTTTATTTTATTTTTTTATTACCAAAAAGATAAAGATGTGTGCTATTTAAAACAGTGAACAAAAATGTCAGTTGTCATTAAAAAAAAATTAAAATGACGTCTGAACTCAAAAACGAATGACATTTATCACTATAATGTCAAAATATAACATTTAAATAAAAAAATAAAATCGACCTGTTTAAGAATTTTTTTGAAAAAACTGCAGAACGGTTCTAGCCCCACTAAAAATCTTGGGCGCCCTACCTAAAAATTGTTTCTAGCTACGGGCCTGGATCGACCCAAAGGTTTTTGGGATAAAAATATGTTAGAAGGACTGTTATAAAGAAAACTAATACAAAAAAGTATAAAAAAAACATTTTCTTTAATTTGATGTTTGACGTTTTTTGTATGTTTGTAAATTACATATTAACTTATTAACTTAAATGTGACGTAGTGGATTTTTTAAATATTTTTTTGGACTTAAAATTTATTCAGCTCTGGTATAAAAATTGTGTAAACTAGTGTTATTATTGTTTTGTTTGATTTTATGAATGAGCTGCTTTTTTACTGTGTGATAACATGAGCTATTATTTTTTCTGTGCATTTATTATTTTTACCTCTTATTTACAATTTTTTTCCAATACTAATTTCTTATATGTATACTGTTTCTATTGCGTATTTGAGCTTACCGTTTTTAAGACCGTTAATATACGTTTTTCTATAAAATACATCGTCAATCACAACGTATTTTATAAGTACTTTTTATTTTATAAAATACTGTTATCTGGGCATTTTTTCAATTTTGACAATTCTTTTTATAACAATTTTTGAATATAGCGAAATTTCTTGTCAATATTCAATATTAGTGTAATTAATTTTTTTGAAGACGACACATGTTTTATAGTTTGAAACTCTTGTTGTCGCTAACAGTTAGTAGTATAGTATAGTACTATAGTACCGAGCATTTAATTAGTACCGATTCATAAACAAGTTTTCTAAAATTTTGTATAACCTTTATTGGCATATAAGTAGTCTATATACAATACTCAAAATGTACATTATTGTTCATATATCTAAAAATGGTAATTATTAAAATAAACACTAGATGGACCTATTGGAAATCTACATGAAAGATATTGTATTATTATCACGGCCGCACAGCCGGATTGTGTTCACTTGAATTTGGAGACATTTCAACCATCAGTCCGTACTTTGAAGGTGCACTTGGGGTGTTTTTTCTTAAATGTACTTGACGTGTGAAACCCGACAATTTTCTGTGAACGCCTCATCGAAATATCTAAAGAACTATCAAGCTCGTGTCACAATTTTGGCCTTGCATAGCTATAAATCACCGCCAAAAATTCCCACCGCACGATTTATAGCTACGAGGAGGAAGTTTGGTTATACAGGGTGCGTCAGAACTCGCGCCCCTCAGGAAAATTTTAATTAAAATAAGATAGAGCTTAATCCATATCTGGTGGCGAATTGACAGTGACAGAAAAGACACTTGGAGTGCGCCCACTTGGTTAAGATAAAAAAATACATGGGCGTACTTTTTTTCTGTAAAAATTTTGAAGACAAGGATTGTTAGGAATATCATTTTTGAAAATTCTTTTCATGCGTTAACAATTTAATAATTTGTTCATCATTCTTCATTTTATGTACGAGTACCTACTTATTATAATTTTTTAAAGAATAACAATGGTTTTGAAATATTATTTCATACGACGCCTATGAACAATATTTTTTTTAATGGTCAACATACGTTTAGTGTCAAAATTCAGTCATTTTTGAAAATGTCAGTTCGCCACCAGATTTGGAACAAGCTATACCAGGAATATGGAATTTTGACATTTATTTTTTCATATTTTTATGTCTATTTAATAATACTGATGATCTTTTATACAGGGTGTCCCAGCGAGTTGAAAAAGTTCATTAGTGACCTTTAAATGGTAAAATTAAATTTTTTTTATATAGGACATTGATAGATACTAAACTAGTCCATCGCCTAAAATTATTTTCAACTATACAGCGTGTCTCAAAAATAAGTTACAATACAAACTTGTGTTTTTAAATGAAACACCATATGTTTTTTAGCGTTTTTGGATGTAGATTTTTATGACAATGTTTTTAAGCTAAACTTTTATTGGTCGATTTTGCTTTGTTTTAAAAATAAGACGGTTTTTTTTGACGAAAACATGCACTTTTTAAACATGCACTACACAAAGACTAAGACATCTAGAAATATTTTTTTTACTACTGCAAAGAAGAAGGCACAAGCTATAAGGTTGTAACATTTTTTTAGTGTTGCATTTGCAAAAATAAAAAAATGAAGACGTTTGTTAAAAGTTCAATGACTTAAAAAATTTAAATGGAACACTCTATTTATTGTTTTTGCATTTAAAAAATTATTAAATTGTCTTTCTAAAATTATTTACTTTTAGGTGTTTATAATCAATAACTAAAAAGATAAGTAATGTTAAACATTAAAAAAATTAATTACTATTATTTCAGTAGCCAAAAAGTGCACAGTTGCACAAGAGATGGAAAAAATATCACTTAATAATCACATTTGTGTTAAACTGAATCCATTATTCTTTATTTTTACAATAAAATAATTCGAATTTCAGTATCTATATCGACTTTTATAATCTCTAGATAAATCAGCGGATAAGTGATCCGTGGTGGAATTACTATGATGGCCATAGCATCAACAATACTCAGATATTGATAGGTATTGTTGCTATAATTAATATTAAATGTTTTACCTTTTATTTATCAATTCTAGACATTAAAAGTTTATTTTTTTAGATAGATAATTTATCAATCTATTAGTTGCAAAAATAAAAAATAGGGTGTTCCATTTAAATTTTTTAAGTTATTTAACTTTTAACAAACTTCTTAATTTATTAATCTTTACAAATGCAAAACACTAAAAAATTGCTACAGTTTTAAATTCTGTGCCTTTTTCTTTGCAGAAGTAAGAAAAAAAAATGTTCTAGCTTTCTTAATTTTTGTGTAATAAATTTTTAAAAAGTGCATTACTTCACAAAAAAAGTTTTATTTCTAAAACTAAGCGAAATCGACTAATAAAAGTTTAGCGTATAAATCAATTAATTAAATTTAGTGTATAAATTGCAATTTTGACAAAAAAATTGGATAAATCAAAAACAAAACAAAATTTCCTTTACTAAGTACGATCACATTTTTTACATTACTTTCATTTATATTATTTATTATTTTCTGGAAATAAATGATTTAAAAAAACCGCTTGGTTCCATACTTTATATTCAGCCTGTATGTGTAGAATATTATTATTTATAACTATATTATTACCACAAGTACTAACGGGAATATTTCGAGATGAAATTAGTGCAAAATCAAATAAAAATGACTTGAATTTCCTCATTAAGAAACATCAATAAAGTAACCCAACATCATATTCTTCTGTCTTTTTTGAAAGTCAAAAAAATGCAAAACACTAAAAAATTGCTACAGCTTTAAATTCTGTACTTTTTTTTTGTGTTATAAATTTTTTAAAAGAGCATGTTGTCGTCAAAAAACACGTCTTATTTTTAAAATTAAAGAAAATCGACTAATTAAAATTTAGCGTAACAACATTGTTTTAAAAGGCTACATCCAAAAATGCCAAGAAACATACGTTGTCTCATTTAAAAAAAGACAAGTTTGTATCGTAACTTACTTTTGGGAGATGCTATATGGTTCAATGTCCTATACAATTTGTTTTAAAATTTTACCACTTAAAGGTCACTAATGAACTTTTTAAATTCGCTGGGACATCCTGTATGTTTTTTTTTTATAATTGTGTAATAAAAGTACAAAAATTTGGCCAATAAAAGCCACAAATAACATGAAACAGATTTACAATTTAAGATACAGCTTCCTTGTTTTTTTTTTTCTAATAGCCTGGAGGAAAAAAACTTGGAAAATTATTTTTTTAGCAGAAATAGAATCAGTGAAAAATATAAATTCTCACTACTTCGAAATTTTTGTAGATAGAATTTTTTAACATTTTTTCCATGTATCTTTGGCGCAAGTCCTGGCGCACTCTGTATCTAATTACAAAGTAAATATATCACAAACATCTTAGTCCTTGAACAGTCCAGACCGCAAGCCTACCACACCAAACACACAAACAACGCTAAATTAGATGTTATCGAAAATTGGTCCTCCTGAAAGACTACGATATGTGCTTACGGCGCGGCAGTCCTGTGAACCCGGTGCAGGATCACCTCGCCCGTACTCGAGGTCGGTTCGTGGTCCTCCGGTTCACAGCGACACTTCAACACCCACTGGACTGACACTGTTATCAAACGGGAGACTTTGTCGGTCTTCCAGGGCGACGCATCCGTCCAGAGGTCCTCTCCAGGCTCCAGGTACTCCGGGAGAAGCTCGGAGACGGCCTCCTCGGGCTGCGGCCCGTCGCACACGAACTCCACCTTGACGGTGGTGCTGAGCGAGGGGGCGCATTGCATCCCGGGGATGGGACACAAGCCGCAGTATTTCGGCCGGAAGCGCTTCCGGCTGCGACAAGGCCCGAAGCGGAGGTACACACCACTGCTGAGGCGGTGGGTGGCCTTGCATTCGTGGCCCCGCTGAAAAAAACAACTTGAAAATCATATTTTATTCGATTTCAGGGAGGCTCTAAATGAGCACTTCATGCGGTCCTGACCGAGTTTTACTGCCTTCTTGGATGATTTATCGCTTAATTATTCATAGCTTCCTCAGTTTTTAGCGGCTTTCCCTTGAGGTAAATGCGGCACTCCTCCCTGTTGACTAATGTGTACAGTGTGTGCCACAATTTTCATAATTAATGGCGTCTAGGGTTACAAATTGCACGTTAAGGACCCGAAAAAACAAATTTGCGACGCTAATTACGTTTTTAGTTTATTTAGGCTCAGCATTATCAGAGAAAGATAAATGCTTAAAAAAAAAGTTGAGAAATTAAAAATACACAAAAGTATAAAAAAAAAAACTAAAAATCGGGAACTGTTTCACTGTTTGTTATAAGGCAACATTCAATTTATTTCGTTCATGAGAAACAATTCAAAAAAAGGAAAAATATTATGCGCAAAGATCACAAAAGTGACCACTTTTATGACCAAATATCATGAACTAAAAATATTGTTTTTGTGCTTAAGCGTTTTACTTTTACCATGACATTTACCAATGTTGTTTATTTCTTGTTTTTTTGGTTCTTTAGCAATTATGAAAGGTACATTGTAGATCATCAAAATTGGACATTTTTGCACTACTAGCTGCACTATTTAAATTAATAAACATTTTCGAAAATCTCAAAATAAATTCTGATGCTGACGAGGGATGTTTTTTATAATTACATTGCAAAGCGTCCTGTTTATTTTGATCATTTACTTGCTAGTTATAGTGTTGCTCTTTCGAAGTAAATGTGAGTTTATGTGACTCAGCTATAATTACTTGCATTCCTAGTAACATAATAGACTAGGTACTATGTTACCTACACAGAAATTTCTTTTGTGTTTTTCCGAAACTTACCTTTTTGGAATATTTAAAAATTGTTTTTTATATCATTCATATTTTTGAAATTTTCAAGCTTTAACTCTTAAGGTCTTAGATTTAACTTTCGGATTTATCGCATATTTGTTTTTCTTGTTTTTAGCTTAGTTATTTTCGAGATTTGTTTTATTCTTTAATTCGAAAACAAAAATCACTCATTTTCAACATCTTCAGTTTTTTCAGGTTTCTGGTTGCACATATGATTTGCAGATTTTAATTTGATTTAAAAAAAGTGGAATACTATTGATTTTTTTCTCTTTTTCGTTTTCTTCTAGTTTTTCAACTCTATTATTTTAACTGGAATGCTTCATTTTAGAATATTAAGATTTTGGTAGATATCAATTTTTTTTTATTTTTTCACATATTTTGATTTATAATTATTTTTGTTTTATTATAAAATTGAAATTTTTATTCAAAAATAGGTTTTTTTTTGAATTAGATAACTTTCTTAGTTATTCAGGCATACTCTTCTCTTTTTTCTCTTTTTTGGCTTTTTTTACTTTTTTTTAATTAGACAACTTGCTTAGTTATTTTTTTTTTCACGTAATGTTTAGATTTTTTGAAATCAGTTTTTTAGACTTTCTATTTAAAATTTGCAAATGTATCCTATTATATTCTTCAGTTTTTGGTTTTTCGGTTTTTTAAAATGTTATGCCATTTACGGACTATGTATTTTTTAAATTTATTTTTGATGATTTACTTTTAATAATTTTTTATATGCATTTTTGGTTTTGAAACTTTTGTAGTAAAATTAAAAGTCTGAAATAACAATTTCAAAAATTCAAATAAATACATGTTGCATAATTTTAAATTTTTTATAATAATCTTTATTGTTTTGTTGTTTTTACTGCAGAAATTGCTGTAGATTTTCTATCAGTTTTTATAAGCTTTTCTTTAACAGATTTTTTTTTAAATCAACATTCTCAATTTTTTTATTATTTCCGGATATTTAAGGTGTTTTAATTAGTAATTTTTTTAGTGTTTTTAGAATTTTAGATTTTGGTAGATATTGTTTAATATTGTCATTATGCAAATTATCATTTTTTTCATTTTTTTATTGTTTTACTTATTGTGATTTATTATTTGTTTATTTATTTGTTTTGGTATAAACTTATGATGTTTAAATTTTTATTTAAAGATAAATATGTTTCTTTTGAATTATACAATTTTCTTAGTTATTCAGACATCTCAATAATGTTTAAACTGTTTATATCCTTTACAATCAGTTTTTTAGACTTTCTATTTGCAATTTGCATATTTATCGATTTTATTCTTGATTCTTGATTTTTCAGCCTTCTTTTTATTTTATATATTCTTAATGTTATTGTAAACTGTTTGTATATTTTTTTCTTTTTTGGTTTTCAAATTTTTTTATAGGTATGCATTTTTTGTTTTGAAACTTATACAGTGAAAATAAAAATAAAAAAAATAAATTAATACGTGTTGCATAATTTTTCATTTCTTATAATAATTTTTATTGTTTTGTTGTTTTTTGTTGTAGCAATAACATTCTCAATTTTTTCTGGAGAGTTACATTGTAGGTTATCAACATTCGACATTTTGCACTACTAACTGCACTAGTCAAATTAATAAACACTTTCTAAAATCTCGATTACTTTTACTTTAAAATACTATTAAAATATACAAAGGGAAAAAAATAATGGAGAAAGAGAAAACTAGGACACATTTTGGTCTAAATGTAGCATTATAAAATGTGATTTTAACATAAGTTTCTTTTGATTGTTAGAGGAAATGTCATTTCAATTAAAGCTCGCGTGTCCTTGGCACATTTCGTATTAATAATTCATCACGGAGATCGATACAAAAGCTCAGACGACGAATTAATATCCCATCGAAGTCGTCTCAGGATCATTTCCAACTTTCAAAGCTTTGTGCCTGAATAATATTTAGAAAAGTTGCATACCGCAAGAAATGTAAGCTTTGAGTCGAATTCTTTTCATAAAATATTTGAAAGCTTGCTTTCAAGCTTTAATCAAATGTTTGTGCTTCGATTCTTACTCTGAGATGGTGTTGGTTCTTGTGATGGACGGTGGGGGCGGCCTCCTGGCACCTCCTCGTCTGACATATCCTGATTTCCGTGTCCGGAAGACACCTCGCGTTCAAATTGGACCTCCTGGAGGACAGCCCCGCGCCGCAGTCGGTGCTGCAGGCCGACCACCTGGAGAAGGCCGGCTGGCAGGCCGGGGGTTGCTCTGCTGGAAAAACAGAACACTTCCATTAGGGGATTAATTGTCAGAAGGTGCGAGGCGAAAAAATAATTTCACTCCATTATGTTTTTTTAACAATTACCCTGATTCCGTCTCGCTTAATTTGAATACGTGCCGGAGAGAGACAAAGGTCGCGAGCTTAAAGCGCAATTTCCTGAATTTCTGTCGAGATTTTCATGAAAATTAGGAGCAATTTCGGCGTTTTATTTAAGCCCGTTTACGACAAGGTGGAGGAGGCGAGGGCGAACTACAATGCTGAAGTTCCGAGGACGGTTTTGTGCTAGTTTTATTGCCGACGATGTAATTTGTGTGGATTATTCGGTTCGGTTTGGGGCTTTACATACCAGTTTGGCTGTCGCACATCCACTCACGGCAGCACTGCGAGGGGACGTCCACCAAACGGGGGTGCTGGCAGTTGCCCCGCGGCGAGATGTGCTCCTGGGGGCACAGCGACGAGCATCCGTATGTCCCGTTCTGCAAAACAGCCAATTTGCACCAAATTATAATCAATTACTGAAATAAATCGTTCAAAAAAAGTAAAAAAATACTCATTGAGAGACTCAAAAACTTGTATGTTTTATGCCTAAATTTAGTATTTAAATAAAATGTAAGCTTTACTGAAGTTTAATTATCTGAAATATTAAATATTAAAAACTTTTAATTGCTAGTTTTTTTCTCTTCTGTTTTTGTTACACGGGGTGATCAAAAATTATGAAAACAAGCGTTTTTTTATCACTTGTCTTCAGAAAATAATAATTAGTAAAAATTAAAGTAAAAAAATGTGATCGTGTTTTGAGAATGAAATTTTATGTTTTGTTCTTGAGTGATTTTTAAAAAACGGCAGGCGCTGTAGAAGTTTTATGTGTGGGTCAATTTCAAACATTAAAAAAAATAAATTAAATGGTTTTTAATTTAGTATAAGCTGACGATTTTAGAATTTTTCTCCATTTAAATCATACTTTCTTTGGGCTATATTCAACTTTGTTATTTTTACTTTAGACTTGAATTTGGCAGGTATTAGTTTTTTTGGTTTATCTTTTATTAGAAATTATTGTTTTAAAAATAGTTAAAGTTAAAAGATAATAATAAGAGTTAATAAGATTTAGTGCATGGTCTCAAAAAAGACAATGCCATTATTGTAATGTCACAAATCAGCAAATGAAAAAAAAATATTGGCAATATTTTTTTAAGTTTTTAATATCTCAGAAATGACATTCATAATAATTATTACCTATAACAAATTAGTAAA